TGAAGTGATTCAACACAATCTGCTGGTTTCTTCTTTAGATTGTTCTTTTTATGTACAGTGCCCTGAGACAATGTATGTTGTGACTTGGCGCTATACAAACTGAATTTGAATTTGAATTTGACTCAGCATTCACACTGTTAATCTAAAACGAACAGTAACAGAAACTTAAGGCTGAATGGGTAAATGGCGCAGGAACAAACATGAAAATGGGACACCTTCTATGCACCCAGCAGAGCCTGACAACAGATCTGTTGTTTGTGTTTGTCAGAGAAAACCAGGTCATTCGCCGCCACAGAGAGGAGTTTCACAGTGAAGATGTTCACCTTCCAGTTCTTCACCTATTTCTCCTCCCTCTTCTATGTGGCCTTTGTTCTCGGCAGGTAAAAACCTGCTCCACTCATTGTTTGAACTTTTCAATCTGTGCTTGCCTAATTAAAAATGGCGTGTTTATTTTTGACACATCTGACAGGATTAATGGCCACCCAGGTGAATATGTACGAATTGCAGGACTATGGAGGCTTGAGGAAGTGAGCGAACAAATATATGTTCTTTCAAATTCTGTTTTAAGAGGAAATACTATATTTTAACTAAACATTTCCCTCTGTTATACATAGTGTCACCCCAGTGGGTGTCTCACAGACCTGTTCATTCAAATGACTATTATAATGACTCTGAAGCAAGTTCTGAGCAATGTGATTGAGTACGCAAGCCCGTAAGTACTGGTTAGTTTTCTGACATCATACAGTTTGTATCACGTTGGTTTGGACTAATCAAAGCTCTCTGATGCTTCCCTCAGCTGGCTCAGCAGGTACATGAAGAGGAAAAGATCCAAAAAGCTGCAGAGGAAATGTGCCCACTGCTACCTGAGAGACGAGTCCGACGTCAGCGACGGAGCTGAGCTATGCGAGAACTGCAAGCTCAGAGACTGGCACAAAAACTACAGGCTCACCGACGTGAACTCTTTCAGCCTGTTCAACGAGTTTTTAGAGATGGGTATGAACTGCACGCTCAGACGCATTAGACCAGGACTGACTCATGTTCACCGAGGGCCACATGAGTATAATGGTGTCTACCGTCCTCTTATAAACACTGAAAAGTACTACGTATACAACTGATTAAATGTGAAATAAATAATACAGAAATACTAGAGTAAAAGGAAGCAAGTTTTGCTCACAGTTGAGTTGCGGTGAGTAGATGCTATCATGGATTCTGAACTCTCCCACTTTTCAACAGGAAGTATACTCTGGAGGGCGTTCCAGTTTCAATTTACAATCAGTACAACTGGGATGCAGCAAAAGTAGCCGGTGATATTTGCCAGCTACTTTTGAACCTCGTGCACCTCCACCTAGTGGTGGATAGCTGTCATTCTTCTGGTAAAATATTCAGGAGATGTAGTGTAACATCAATGCTGGGTTTAAATTAGCTTATTTTAAGACATTAACACATCTTTGAAGCTCTTGCGGGCCACATCAAATGCTGTGGCAGGCCACATTTGGCCGATGGGCCTTGTGTTTGACACATGCATTAGACTCTTGACTTGTTTTGAGTGAGAGTATTTTTTTCTGCTTTCTCATTAGTGATCCAGTTTAGCTTCACCACCATATTTGTGGCTGCGTTTCCTCTCGCTCCTCTGCTGGCTCTCATTAATAACATCATCGAGATCCGTTTGGATGCCATTAAAATGGTCACTCTGGAGCGCAGGATGGTTCCCAAGAAAACCAATGACATCGGTAAAGGGGGGTTTCTGAATGAAAACTGATTTCCACGACAGAATTAGGCATGTTGACCCTTCTCTCGCTTCCCCTCAGGCGTGTGGATGCCCATACTGGAGGTCATTGGTGTCCTAGCTGTCATTGCAAACGGCCTGGTAATCGGGGTTTCATCCGATTTTATCCCTCGACTTGTGTACCGTTACCGCTACGGCCCATGTGTTAACGGCACAGCAGCAGATATGGAGTGAGAATGTGTATTAATTTGGAAATTTGAAAAGTTATTACTATTATTTTTTTGTAATAGTCTGGGTACATTTCACCTAAACTTTCTTCTTTTTTGATTGCTTTAGCTGCATGGTTGGCTACATCAACAATACCCTTTCCGTTGCGTCAAAAGTGGAACAGATGTTCGATTCTGAAGGACAGAACGTTACTTCATGCAGGTTTGTTCTGTTACTTTCCTTCTATACCTCGAGTCACCACTCTGACACTAAGAATGCCATAAATAATCTTTGGACAAGGAGTGGTGATCAGTATCTGCACAAAACTTGAATGTTTGGTTGTTGTTGTTGTTTTGTTGTTTTTAATCTTGACGAAGTAGCACAGTGTCATCAGGTAATGTTTACATTGTTTCAAAACCGTCGACTGAACTTGCAGCCAGCCTGTCCAATGTTTGAAATATACTTTAGTCTTCTCTGTTCCTCTTCACAGCTACAAAGACTACAGAGATGGTGAATACAACTTTACCCCACAGTTTTGGCTGATTTTAGCCATTCGCTTTGCATTTGTCATCCTCTTTGAGGTGAGCCTTACAGAAAACACGGACTTAGTGAAGCAGTTTCTTTGCCTGCCTTCAGCTCAACACCAAATTCTATCCATGTCTTTCTAGTTGGACCTGTTCTTATAGTCGATGTGTACGAGTGGTGTCTTCAGGCTGCAATGACGAAACTGTTCTGCTGGTTTGCAGATGGTAGACAAAAAAGAGGCAGCCCTAACATTTTATTTTTTTCCCTCTGCTTGCAGCATGTTCTTGTCATATGCAAATTCATCGCAGCCTGGTTTGTGCCGTCTGCTCCCATGCAAGTGAAGAACCATAAACTGTTTGATAAACTTTACAGGCTAAAAGAGGAGCTCAGGTGAGTTTGAGATGTGGCAGGTTGCCAAATTAAAAAAATATCTTTAGCTTTTCCATAGTTTTAACTTCAATAAATTTACAAAACAATATTTTGATGTATTTTTAGCTAGTGTGAAACATTTAGTATCACAAGCATACAATAAAAATTATGCAACATACAATAAAAAAAATCAGCATTATACAACAACTAAAACAAGCATAAAAAGCACAATAAAATCATGACATGAAAGCCTGGGAAAATAAGTGTTTTCATTTGGTTTTTGGAAACCTCCACAGAGTCAGCAAAACAAAGCCAAAATCAAAATTACAAGAAATAAAGGCTTGAAATATTTCACTCTTTGTGTAATAAATCTTTAAAATGAGTTTCACTTTCTAACTGACTGAAAAACTTTTTTCACAATATTGTAATTGTTTGAGCTGCACCTGTATTATGAGATCTTGTGTGATGTTTACCGCACCAGACTCTAGCTAAATACATGTAAAAAGGTTGAGTTACATCTTTTGAAAGGCACACACAGACACAGGCAAGAACATTATCGCTTCTCCTCTTTTGTGGTAGGTGAATAAATATGTGTATGTCTATAATGATTGTCTAACTAAATTTGGATGAAATTCAGTGGCCAGTGTAAAAACCAATAACTTTAATATTTATGCAATTTGTGTGTGTGGTTTTTTCTCTCTCGCTATATTACTACAAGTTTTATTTGATCTTTGTAATGAGTTGTTTTAAAGATAATAAATGCACCGGTACTTTAAATTAAAGTTAGTCCTAAATGTCTAAATGATGACTTATGGTGTCAAATGTTTTGCTGTTTCCTTCAGGACGTTTGAAGCGTGACAACATTCAGACACTTTAGTGGGACATAATCTGATCCTGAACACTGAGTGTAGCCGTGTGCTTTTTGCGTATAAAAGCTGTGGCAGCACTGGGACAGTTCAAAGATTCATCTTCCTGAAGAGATCAGACGAAGGGTCGTGGCTCCCTGTTATTGTCTGCTGTCAGATGTAAGCTGCCTATAATTACATCTGTAAGAAATGGACTTAAAAAAAGCCTTTTTTTTTGTTCTTGGGCAAAACGTGTAGAGTAACTGATACTACTGGTTATGCCTTGTCTGACATCTGCTCTTATTTTAACCTGAGAAAGCACTGAGTGCTTAGTGTTGGATCTGTGTTTGTGAGCCATATCTAAGTGTTTTCACTGAAAGCTGGAAGGTTATTTTCAACTGCTCCTACGAACAGACTGCTGACTGTGCTATTATCATACTGCCTTACATTGTAAAACAAAGCGCTGTGATGCTTATTGCTTTTATTTCATTCAGATAAAATATGATGGTGTTTTGTAAATGAGAATGTTTTGCATTATTTTATAATATTATTAAAAGAGGAACTATTTGTCCTTATGAGCTGTCTTTTCAATTTAACGTGCTTCTCTGTTTTCATTTAGAGAGATATAAAAACAACATTTATTATTTTACTTTTCTTATTGTACAGCATATTTCCACAGTAGCTCTCAGTGAGCAAGCTGTTTGCTGACTTTTTAGGTTTCAGTGTAGTTTTAAAGTCTATAATTACTCTATAAATTTAAAGCTTAATTTAACACATTTCTTGCACAGAAATTATTCATATATTTAACGATGAGACACATATGTTACTTACTTGGTTCATACTTGCAATGTAAATATGTGTTACTAATTGATCACAATCCTAGTTTAACATGTACCGGTATATACTTACACAGTACATACCTGGTGCTATATACCAGGTTTAATGTATTTGGTACTTGTATGTGCAGTACGTGTTATTTACTGGGTACATACATGATTATTACAGAATACTTACTTTGCATGTACTTGTTAAGTATTGCGTACTAGGTTCTTGAAGTTTATTTAAGCACAAACACAGATTATTTTAGTAAACAATAAGTAGAAAAATATAAAAATGCACGACTGTAGGCAAAAGTAAATTTTCATCTTTTGTTGCTTGGACAGGCTGATGGTCTTTAATAAACAAGGGGAAAAAAAAAATAAAAACAAGAATAAATTAGTTATTTATGTTATGCAGTATTATGATTACAGCTGTTTGTCAGAAACCATTACCCTAAGTACATAAGCTGGGAGTATATACATATCTAATCGGTAAGAGTGTTCCAGGCACAAAATATGAGAAAGTATTTTGAGCAAAAGTGCTTTCCATGAATGGATAGTACAGTGTCCTCTAGGACCTGCCTTAGTTAAACATATTTGTGTTTTGTTTAACAAATTCTTGCAGCAAGGATGCTTACATAGCACTTATACCCTGTAAATAAGTAGTTACTAGGTATGCAACTGGTATAGGAACATACTTTGTAAATACCAAGCTTGTATATGTGCCACTACAAAACAGCCATGAAAAGCCTTACATTTTTTATGTTTTGTTTGTTTTTAAATCACTCTTATTAGCACAAATGCCTAGCTGTTTCTCTGTAACCATTAACAGAGCCTCACGTCCACCCAGCCCCATAAAATAAATAAATACAAGTCTAAACTATTGTTAAATGTTAACCAGGGTTGTAGCAGTTATTAACATGGTTTTCTGCAAAATTTGACAGACATGATGTTCCAACTTGAATAGACAACTGTAATCATAGGGTCATGTAATCGGTATAATTAATTTACAAACTTATCAATTAAAAATAAAAACCTTATTTACTACTAATAATATTAAGCATGTGTCCTTGATGAATACTGTACCTGCACTTGAGGGAAATGTACAGCTGAAATAAATAATGCGAGGAATTCAGTACAGTGTAATTGTGAGCAGTAAAGCAGGATGTGTGCTTCATTTATTTATTTTTAGTTGAAAAGTTTATTGGTTTGAATTTGAGGAATGCTCTTCAAATTTTACAGTTTTGTACGGTGTAGTTGCACTACCTTGCGGGTAGAACCCGGTGAGAGAGTCACGTGACCACGGGGAGCCAATCATCTGCAGCGCTTCCGGTTCTCCCAGGTGCAGTCGATGAAACACACGGTGGCGTTTGACGTTAACGATGTTAAACTAAACTTTTACAACAACGGGAAGAAAAAAGGGCGTCTGAGCGAATTATTTTTTCCAGTCAGAGAAAGAGGGAAAGGAAAACTTCGGCTCATGGCGAACGTTTTATTTGCCTCCCTGTTAGTCTGCTCCTGGACTTCCCTTGTTTTCGGTAAGGATGTAAATTATAAAAAGTATTTCCTTCACTTCCGTTTAAACTTTACATTTTTCTTTCTTCTTTGATAACTGCGCTTTGCGCACATATTTAGGCAGGGAGTTTAATCTTCCCGTTATTATTACAATTGTTACTACGTGTAATTAATGAAAAAGGTCAGTGTGCGCGTGGTCGGGGCGTGCAGAGTCACGGAGTCACGTGATTCCGCCTGGCAACACGAGCGGACTTCGACCACAGCTGGACCTGGGTTTATTATGAATAGTTAAAAACTCGAAGCAGCATTAAAAAAATAAACACACATTCCTGTGCAGGAAAATTAAGTTAAGCTCGTATAGTTACAGACTGTTACATTTTCTGAAATACTGTTTATCGATTGTAGTGCTGTACCAAACGATTATTTCCTAATCGATTAATCGAACGATTGTTTTTTCGATTAATCGATTATTAAATTAGTCATCAATTATTTTAATAATCGATTAGTTGTCGATTAATCGTTGCAGCCCTGATCGATTTTAGTTATGGTTGAATATTTAGAAACTGAAAAGTATTTGTAAGTGAACCTTAATATAGTTTTATTTAAATGGAAATTGTTAGTTGTTAGTACAACTTGGAATATTTTTATATATTTTTGTCTGACTCATCTAAACTAATTGATTTAGGTTTAGAAGCTCCTAAAGTAAAGCACCATCACATTCAGACTATACTGCAGCTCTAACAGAGTATGCTATTTTCTGAACTAAAAAGCTGTTTCTAAGAATTATTTAAAACATTCTGCATACATTTGGGAAAATGTGCTCTGTAAATTAGATATGAGCCAACTATACTACTTTTTGAGATTAGTGTTTTGTGCAGTGATCAACAGTTTTTAAAAATGGAAATATGTGCAGGATGAACACTGTCATCAAATAACCAGAATCAAAAGTTGATGAATATTTTTGTATCTTTAACATAATCTAACATCCTTCTTGTTTGTTTGTTTTTCAATCAGGCCAAAGTTGTGTGAATGACAGCAGATTTAAGGAGCAGGTGCTTTATGTAAGGCAGCACGGGCCTTCATATTCACTGCAGTGTCCTCTGCAGCCTGTTCAGTCCCAGAATGCCCCCGTAGTCCAGCTGACCTGGTTGAAGGACTGTCAGCAGCTTCCCAAACAGGTGGGGAAGACCTCCCTGGAGTTTAGCAGCGTCAGCTTAAAGGACCAAGGAAATTACACTTGTATTCAACAGGGAAACGACACAGCATCATTTACTGTGCGCCTCATTGTGAAGGGTGAGTATGAACTTTGTGTCCATCCGCCTATTTTCTTTACCTGGTTTTCTACGCATTGTCGCGGGAAGCTGGTGTCTATCTCCAGCATTCATTGAGCGAGTGGTGGGGTACACCCTGGATAGGCTACTAGTCCATCACAGGGCCACATAAAAACAAACAAACCATTCACACTCTCACATAATATGGATGTTTTTGGTCTGTTGGAGGAAGCCGGATGATCTGGGAAAAAACATCCGAACCCTACATAGAAAGGCTGCAGCCTTCTTTCTGTGAGGCTGAACTGTAACTGAACTGATCTGATACTTTCAATACCCCATTATCTGCTCCTGCTGCAAATTTAAAATATGTCGGGGCATTAAAGGGTGTTTGCGGTGCAGTTCCTTCCAGCAGCCAGTTTCAGACTACATAAAGACCCTCATTGTCTGTAGCTCTCACAAGTAACTGTAGTGTGTCTTTACAGAGTCTCGGTGTGCCAAAGCTCCAGAGTTTATACCAAACGGCAGCTTGACTGAACTCTGGAGGAATGTGGGATCCACTGTGAGGCTGAACTGCACCGTCCTGCTCCTCTGGGATCCATCAGAAGAGCAATGTGAAACCACGCTGCAGTGGAGCAAAGCTGGCCAGCCTCTCACCAACCACACTCTCTACCTTCACAACACATCGTCATGGTCGATGGAAGCTTTTAACAGATTAGTTTCCCATTAGAGCACCTGCATCACAGTTAGGGCTTTTAAGAGATGCTAAGATCCTGTTTTCTCTCCTTTTTTTAATCAGGTCTCCTGCAGCTGGACAGTTGATAGTAAATAGCCTGCTTGAGTTCACTCTCAAAGAAACAGAAGATTTTGGACTCTACATCTGCACAGTGAGGAACATTTCTTCTGAATTCATCGTACAAAATTCAAGTAAGACCATTTTAAACACACACAATGAATTTATCTTCTTTTTGGAGTAGTCAGAGAATAAAATGGAGACTTTTTTTAATTTTGTTTTTTGCTAAAGAGATAACCAGAAAGACTTTTGAGTAGGCCTGTCGCGATAGTCAATAAATCAATTAATCGCACGATAACTTTTTTTGAGGTCGGTTAAAAAAAAGACGGCGATAAGTTTCATTTTCCTGCTT